TGATGATGATGATGATGATGATGATGATGATGATGATGAGATGATGATGATGATAAATATAATTACATGTACATTTAATTTAAATTACTGAAATGTGATGTACTTGTAATTTGGTTACCCACTAAACACCCAAGAGCTCTCCTGAGCTGGCTCTTTGTGGATTCTCCGTATATTTAATTTAGAGTGCTGGTTTTTGTGGGAGGGGTCGGGAAGGAGGAAGAACCCCGAGAAAAACCCTTGGTGCAAGGATGAGAACCAACAACAAACTCAACCCTGGGCCAGTTTGGCGGGAGGCAAGCCTTCTCACCACTGTGCTGCCCAGGAGCAAATCAAAGTACGAGTATCTGTTCAATACCAAGCATTTTTTCTTTCCGAGACACCCTCCCTATATTGCATATGAATTGCATGTATAATAGACATTTTTTGCTTTTGACCTCTTCAGGTTGTAAATTATTCAGACAATAGAAAATCCCTCAAGTTAGCAGACTTTGGTTTAGCCACCGAGGTCAAAAGCCCAATGTTCCTTGTGTGTGGAACACCAACATACGTCGCACCAGAGATTTTGGATGAATCAGGGTATGTGCTGAATAATAATGATGAAAAAATTTATGATGATTCAGTAGTGAATCATCATTATGTGCTATTATTGCAGATTGTAATAAGTGTCTTTCCAAGTGAAAGTGCTATTTTATAGTCGCAAAGGAATCTAAATTGCAATTAATATTTTTAAGAAAACAACAGATATTCTGGAGGGTAACTAGTGATAGATAGTTCTACTTTTCAGCTGTTCTAACTCTCACGAAGATGATTTGATATCATTGTTTTTTGTTGTTGTTGTTTTCAGATATGGACTGAAGGTTGACATTTGGGCAGCAGGAGTTATAACATACATTCTTCTTTGTGGATTTCCACCTTTTAGAAGGTTTGGCTGTATTACACCCTCTTTCAGTGTTACATGCATAGGCGGCATCTTTCGACATGCTATGTAACCTGGCCCATGTCAAAATGTAAGCCAACTGACTTCTCTACAGTCGAACTCGAAATTTGGTGATGAAAGATGGATTTATTTGACATCAAACTTAGGTTAGGAGTATCAAGAAGTCATTCCTGGAGAGATGATTTGACTGTTTTCAGTGTTTACACCTTGCGAATATTAATAGTGGCAGAGGCCTAATTGTACCAGAAGTCACTATTGAGAGCCAATCGACTACACTAAAATCTCTTGAATTATCCTGTCAATTGGGAAACATGCAAAGTCCACAATCTTCTTCAGCCATTTGATGTCAGTAATTATCATTTATTTGTCATTTCTTCTGCTAATAACTGGAAAAATTGTCAGTTTGATTGTTAAACGGTCTTTCAGCTGTTTACATAGCATGCTGAAAGGTGGCATGTCAAAAGATGGTTGAAAGATGTCGCCTATGCACGTAACACTGAAAGCAGGTGTAAGTGTTATAAGTATTTGTTCCTCGTTTGTTAGTGCTTTCTCAATAAAGTGCTTTGCAGATACTAAAGGTAAAATAGTTAGATGGGTCAGAAACTGATCAAACAGTAGATTCTCTCAACTAGTTCTTTGTAAAAGGAATAGACCAGTAATGAGGATTTCTATATTGGTGCGAGGAACTAAAACTGTAATTTTCATTGCAGTCCTGACCAGGATGAATTGTTTGACTTAATTCTTGCCGGAGAATTTGAATACCTGTCACCATTTTGGGATGACATCTCGGAGTCAGCCAAGGTAGAGACTACAAATAAGTGCAACACAGGAGGTGGTGAAAAGTAATTTTGAGACTTTGGGAGATGGCAAGACTAATACATGGTCTTCAAGTCTGAGACGTTCCTGGCTTTGCCATAGAAATCAAGACACTGAGAAGGTGTTGCAAAAAAATTTGAAATGGCAAGACCTATGAAATTTTGTTAAATTTGTGTGCGAGTGCAACCTTAATGGCTGTGATTTTACTTAAGTGTATGGAAGAGAAGACAAACAAAGAAGGGGCAATGTAATCTTGCTAGATTTCTGCCATATTTCTTTCCTTTGTTGCCATATTTTTTCATTAAATTTAACATTGTGACTGAATGCTGATCCAAATAAATCATTACAAAATTGATAATAGGTGCAATTTGATGAAATGTTATTTTGACTCAATTGTACTGTTAGACATAAACATGCATGAAATCTGCTACAAAACCTGGGTTTAGTTGTCCTAGCAGTTTGGTTAGGGAGGGCCACTGTTAGAGTATACAATGTACTGTATATGATAAGGGTGTTGAAGGTTAAGTTGGTTCACTTATTGATTTAGTAATGATGACAATGAAGGTATCTGCTGTATACCCTTGTTTTCTCATGGCTCTGGTTTGTCATTTTAGGATCTTATAAATCAGATGCTCATCGTGGATGACAATAGAAGATTTTCTGCCCTTCAAGTCTTAAATCACTCATGGATAAAGGTATTTTCTTTACCTTGTCATAAAAAGGTTTTGGTGGTTCATCGTGGTGAAGAACTGTAATAATAGTTAATAATAAACTTTTTGTCTTGGAATGTGGTCACTTGTGATGTAGATTGTGACATTTCAACTGTCTAATGAAAAATATTTTATATATGTCAAATTATTATTGCATTTTGATTGGTTCTTACCTATAATCTATTGGAGGACAGATGTGTAGATGATGTCATTAACAATTTTTTTGTGTTTTTGTTATATAAAACAAGTAGATTCCATGTTGCTACATATCTGTTCAGTAACAGATCATAAATATGTCAAAATCTGGTAAAAACATCAGTGCACACTCACCCAATGTCTAGTACACCACTTCTTTGTTCTTACCACATTACTGAGCAGACGCATGGCAACATGGAATCTATTTGTTAACCACACACCATTCTCCAAGAAATAAATGTAACTAAACTGGGATTTAACTTCTTTCTTCCATAGGGTCACACAGCTGGAGACAAAGATATTCATGTTAATCTTAGAATGGAGATCACAAGAAATTTTGATCCACGGAGAAGGTTGAGAGGAGCTGCCATTGCTGTACAAACGGTAAATTATTTTTCCAAGAAACCTCACTCCAAATCAAAGAAGCAGTCATTTCAGACAGACAACCAATGGCTTATTGAGTCCAAGAAAGTTGTCTTCTCTGATGAAGTGCTCAACATGCCTTCGCAATCTAATGCTGCTCATGAGTCGCATCATGGGTCTGAGGGCAGATTGCACTTTTGTGATAACGCATGGCAAAATATAGAAAAATTGACTGGCAGTGATCTGCCATACAGACATGTAAGTAGTCCTGATATGCACACTCCCACTGAGCAAATGCAGGTTGGGATTTCTGATTTAGTGCTAAATGCTGTGAGTGAAGAGAGTGTTCTTCCACACCAAACAAAACATGGTTTCTCATGGTCTGAGAGTAACCGAAAACCTGTGTTGAGGGCAAGGCAAGATAACTTCAGTTTGCATGCGAGTCATGCAGTTCATGATCCCCACGAGGACAGCAAAGGTAGAACAAGAAAAAGATCTCATGGTGCAAGGGTGGTATCTAAAGATGGAACACCAATCGATCGGTTTCATGTTCCCCAAATTACTCAAAATGATTCCTTAAACTTAGGACAATTCACTGAAAGGGATGTAGTTCTTAAGCCAGCCTTGACAGGTGAAAGTACATCTGATGCTGGTACTGGACAAACTCTTGATTCTGCATGTGAGAAAGCCTCTGATACATCTGAGGAAAAGAAAATCAGTATCACTAATTTAACTCAAGAACTTAAAAGACTGAAAATGAGTCTATCAGGTGCAGCTAATGTTGCAGTTGAAGTTTAGGATCCACTAAGCAAATTTTATCCAAACCGTTTATGAAATTGTCGCTTTGTAGATGTAAATCTTAAACTTTACTGCAAAGGAAGTTAAAAAAATATGCTGATAGTAAGATTACAGTTAACTTCTTAGAAGTGGTTTAAAACAGTCATAACAACAACCAACATTTAATTTTTTCCTGGCATAAGGTTTTCTTAAGTAGCATAGGCTTGCAATGCATGCAAAAGGCTTCACCTACTTGAGCCACAGTACATTTTGAAAGAAATAATAACAGTGATAATTATTTATTAATAGCCCATTGTTTCCCAAGAGTGATGAACTGTCTAAACTCTCCTTACAGTATCAATATCAATATATTGTCAAGACAACAGGTGATGAGGAAATAGGAAATGATCTATGAAGGATTTTTGTCCTGGTGTACCCCTAAATTTTGATTACTATTTACAAGACGTTTATGGTATTCAGTAAGGAGAATTTGATATTTTGAGCTTGGGAAAGTAAGGGCTATGTGTTAATTAAATTGTAGAGCTAACTAATTTGGTATAGACTATAATTAGTACATTTTCAGTACCCTGAAGGTAAATAGGCAAGGCTAAAAACACTCACATGATTTGTAAGCTCCGATAATTTTTCTACCTTTGTAAAAAAAGATGCTATGCAAAGAGTATTTTTTCCATCTTCAGTTTAAAGTACAAATTTTATTTTCTTTCTTGTGGCAATCCTTTGTTTACTGTTTTACTTTCTGGTGTGTATATTTCTTTGAGGAAAGCTTCAGTCTTATTTTTTAAAACAATGTAATGCAAAGCAGGTTTGGAATTTCTTTCTTCATTTGACCAGCAGACTTAATTAAAGCATGCCATAAATAAATGTTACATACTCAACTGATGGCATAGCTTAATTAGAGCTGGCTGAACATTACTTCTGACAAAATTCCGAAGTTGGAAAACAATCAACCAGGGATACTACATGATCTCAAAAATTTGTAAGAAGCAAAAGTTCAATTGGTTTTATGAAGAGAGATGTCAATGGCATTACTAAATTAATGTCCATGACAAAATTGCCACAAAGTTTTATTTTCTAGGAAATTGGCTTTTTACAATAGTAGAGTGGTGATTGAAGTCCATTATTTAAACCAAGAGTTCAGAATGACTTTTGACCTGTTTTCATACATTAGTAGTAGTGAAAGACTTCCATTGAATGATCTTTTTGAGTAGTTGTGCATGCCATTTCAATTAAATGTTTTGTTTAAAAAGAGTAAAAGAGTAGAATAGTTAGTATTTTAATTATATTAGTGTTTGATTGATTTGAGTGTAAATGTAATTACTTTTGATAGGGAAATTTAGAAATTAATAGTTGGCAAATATTTTCTAGAGAAAGTTTGTACAAAGATGTAAGTTTATTGATAAGTAAATTCATAATACTATTTATTTTATTCATAGCCTTAAACGGTAAGATACTAAAAAGCAGATTTTAAGACTAAATACTATAAACTAATAATTTATAACTTAAAATAGATTCTATAAACTGCATTTATGCTGCATGCTGCTGTAGTCTAATGGAACAAAATTATTGTGTAGCTGATCATTTCATAAAGGGGACATTTTTTGTGATCATATGTTTTCTTTTATCACCATTAGAAGTGAGTGCCGCATTTGGGTGTTATTTCATGATTTTTAGCTGTATGTTCATTAGCTGGTGGAATGTAAGGTTTACGTTAAGTTTATTTTATCTGTGTCCAGAATGTAAATTTTGAGCTCATGCTTATTGAAATATTGATCATTCCGTATGTATAAAGGTTAGCCTAAAAGGTGGGATAGGGAAGCTTCTTAGATGCCAATTAGAACCAGATTGCTTATGTAGGATTTAAAAGTGTCAATGATCCAATATGTTAATGATCCAAGAGTAAAATTAGTACTATTTTAGCAGTTGGAAATGGATTAATAAATGATTTTTTTAAGATGCATGTTAGTTGTAAATATGTTTTGTTCAGTTGCATTACTGAGAAATAAAAAAAATCAATTATTTCTTTCAGCTGCATTTTGGAGTTTGAGTTTGATGGCGATTTTATGTTTGTTACCTTAAACAAAGTTTATTGAAAATACTTCTATTATGTCCATAAATACTGAAGACATTTAAAAAACTACTAACAATGAAATTTGTCCAGTGGTAAAACAAAATAATTTTTGATATCAAATTGCTATGTTTTGTTAACTTAATGACTGTGTTGCTTTGAAGAGTCTCAACTTTGAACTTGTTTCCTTTGTGATTATCTAAGATTTTCACATTTCAACTATACTTGAAAAAGCAGCAACTATACACTTTTTGGATAAGCATTTTAGAGAGATATTGAGAGATATTGTAGACTGCAGATTACAGTTGCATATAAATTGTGAAGGAGAGGCAAGAATTTAAGGTCTTAGAAGAAATTCAATGGCTTTCCTTTTGAGTAGTTTGCTCTGGTAACTGATCTCTCGCTTGTTTTGTTGCACAGAAAGGCAGGGAGAATCCCAGGACAAAAGGCCCCCAAAAAGACCGTGAAGGAAGGAAAGCCCTTACACCTCTGTCAAGGAACACATTATATAAAAAGGATTTTCATAATGCCAGGGACTCTCTCAACAAGCTTATGGACACACCAGAACAAAATAGGAGTGTGAAAATTAACACCACAATAAAGAGCCCCCCTGTCAAAACCCCTACTAATTATGTTCCTGTTTGGAAGAGGCCCTTAGGCAATGCAAAGACCCCTGGTGGGTCCCCAAATCAGAGCCCACAGAGAAAAGCAGTTACCAACTCACAACGGAATGCACCTGGTAGACAAGGAAAATGTAAAGTTCTTAGACAGCCACCAATGAAGTTTAGGTTGTAATCTTCGGTAGAATTAGTTGTGTTGTGTTTGCTGGTCTTCACAGACCTGTCTAGGGAGATCACGTCCATTAGAAGATATGAAGTTATGTTGGCAGTGAACAGTGTGATAGATATGTCACGCAAAGTATGATGGCCTGTGTTGATTTGCTCTTCCTTTGACTATGTTTTTTTTTTTGAAATTTTAAATTACAATGGATTAATATTAAATTTTAGTAAACTGTTAAAATAACAATTAAAAGGAGAATAAACTACTTTGGATAAAAGTGAGCTAAACCAAAGCAGTGAATAATAGGTTTACTAAAAACCGAGCTTAAATTGCTGTGTTTCATCAGGCAAACAATACAATATAAATATTTTACTAAAATATAAATAATATAACGTGTATTATATATTTTACATAATGCTGTGACATTTTCATTTCTATTTTTGTAATAAAAGGTAACAGTATTTTGCAATAAGAAGATAAAAGCCAATAAACATGAACGATTTAAAGTTAGGAGTGGCCTTCAATTGAATGTAAAATGCATTAACTACCATTTTTTTTTCTACTATAATACATATTTTCACTGTGAAAGAGTAACAACAGCAAAGTTTATGGAGTTATGTAACATTTAGTAAAGTGTCTGGAGAAAAAACTTGTGTTAAAGTTTTGCTCCAGTGATTTGGTTAAACGTCGGTTCACAAACTGCTGTTTAGTAAAATTCTTTAAAAACTCTATAAACACCCTGAGAACTAAAATAAAAGATACAAATAAATTACAAATTAGCTTGCAAAAATAACAGGATATAAATACATTTCACATGCTTCAAAAGTTACAAAAGTGAAAGGAGAAAACTTAAGATCGATTTACAATANTATGTGCAGCTTTCAGTGGCAGAGATGCCAACCTAAAAAAAATCAAAATTGGGAAGATTGCAATTTTACCTTTTCTGACCCTAAATAAAAGTTGTTCAAAGTAGAGGTCTGCCAGTTCAACCACAAAAAAGCATAAAGAAATCAAAAATCAAAAATATGTCTGAAAAATGTATTTTATGCACTTTCACTTGTGTTGTCTGGGACATTTGGTGACCTACACTGGGGACCAGGAGATTCGGTCTGTATCTGTGAGACTTTCTGATAATCTGGGAGAGTTGGCATAGATATTATGCTAGCTACTGGATTGTCGTATCAGCCCTCTTTTGAATAAGTCAACCCTGATATTGTGCTTTAATTATGCCAACTGAGCTGTGATGACACTGGGAATGATGTATAAGAAACATACATCACACTGCTGTGACATGACATAAACTTAAGACCCTTGGTATCATTGCTTAGTAGAACATTATGATTTACTATGATCTACTATTATGAAGGTTGGTTGAAATCCCATTAAGCCACATCATCTTTTTTGTCTCATGCACCTAATTCCTACTTTTGCCTGCATTCAGTGTCCTTCACATGGTACATGCAGTACAAGTATTCTATCTAACACTGGATTGAAGGATGTCGTTTCGCTTTAATACTGTTTTGTTTTCTTCCTCAAGGTTAAAGCCTTGGAGAAACTTAGCAAATCTCTAAAAGATGGCCAGAAACTTGCAGTAGGAGAAAGTTACCAAGATTTAGTGTCAGCCATCAAAGAAGACAACCCTGCTCAATATCGGCATCCAGATAAACATGCGTCACATGCAAGGAAGCAACGCCGTAAGAGTTTAAATTTTGAGATCTTTTTCAGTGAACAAGATGAAAATAAAACC